ATTATTACAGCCACGGAATCCTCTGCGTTAAAATTAGAATACAACAATAAAATTGAAAATGCCCAAGACCTAAGGAAAAATGTTTTAAGAGAACTAAAAACCGGAAAAAAATTAAATAATAATCTTACAAAAGAACAATGGAAAGCTTATAGAGAAATAAAAGAGGAAAAAAACGTTGACATATATCCATTTGACAAAGGGACAGGTTTTGTACGAATCGAACATTCAAAAGCCTTGGAAAAAATTCGCGAACAAATAGGCCCAACAAAAATAGTAAGTGAAGACCCTACTGCAAATTACGCGGCTAAAATTCGTAGATGTCTTTCAAAACTAAATAAAAGAAACTGTTTTTCAAAAGAGGAATACGAAAAAATATATCCTAGTGATCCCATCCCGCCTCGTATGTATGGTGTAATCAAAGCCCACAAACCTGAAAAATTCTATCCTATGAGAATAATTATCTCCACAATCGGCACAGCAAACTACGGAATATCTGAGTTCTTAGTTAAGATAATACAACCAGTTTTGAATGAAAACTTGACAAGATTAAAAAATTCCTTTGACTTTATTAAAAAAGCTGAATCTTGGAAAATTGACAATAATGAAGTTCAGGTATCTTTTGATGTCGTAAATCTGTATCCGTCGGTTCCTTTAAAAGAAGCCACCCTTGTTCTTATAGAAAAATTAAATAATAATACAACATATAAAAAACTAACAAGACTAAGTATACCTGAGATAAAACAACTTATAGAACTTTGTTTATTTCAATGTTATTTTCATTGGAACAATGAAATTCATATAATGGAAAACTCGGGTCCAATTGGACTTTCGTTCATGGTCGTTCTTGCAGAATCATTTCTACAATTCCATGAAAACAATGCAATTAAAGTTGCACTAAATTTCAACCCTGCACTTAACCTCAAATCGTTCTTAAGATATGTCGATGATAGTCACGCAAGGTTTCCAGATCTCAACCAAGCAAAACATTTCCAATACATTTTAAATCAACAACATCCTTCCATCCAGTATACAATTGAAGTTGAAAACGAGTTAGGAACACTAAATTATCTGGATATACAAATTATGAATAAAAAAACAGGAAAGTATGAATACGCAGTATATCGGAAAGATGCTATCACTAACATTCAAATTAAGCCACACTCAAATCATGATCCAAATATCTTGAACTCTATTTTTAAAGGATTTCTCCACCGAGCTTACTCAATCTGTAGTAAGTCTTACTTGCAAAATGAAATAAATTTTCTAATCGACGTGTTTGTTGAAAATGGTTACGATAAAACTCAAATGATGAATATTGCGCATCAGTTTCAACACAAAAGACAAAATAAAATTACAATTCCATCTGAAATCAATAATTATCCTGTAGTTTCCTTACCATGGGTACCCGGTCTCTCACCAAAACTTAGGAAAATATTCCGAAAAGCTGGTTACAGAGCGGTATTCAAATCAAACCCAAACTTAAGATCCCTGTTAACATCAAAAAATAAATCAAAACTACCTAATAACAGTCAACCGGGAACATATATAATCAAATGCAACTGTTCAAAAGTGTATGTAGGCGAAACAAAAATGAAAGTAAACACACGAATGCATCAACACCAAAAAAGCATTGATGAAAATAAGCAGCATCAATCCGCATTAGCTCTGCATAAAACATTTTGCAAAAAAGAAATTATTTGGGAACAAACAAAAACATTAAAAGTAGAAAATAGAAAATAAAAAATAAAAAATTTGAAAGAAAAGTTAGGGAAGCCCTAGAAATACAAAAAAACATGTGTTCTGCAAAAAATGGCGGGATTAATCTCGATGAGGGTCAATACGTAAAAACTAAGTTTTGGACGCCATTTTTTAAATTTCAGCGAAAAAGAAGCCATTCAACAGCTGACGTCAATAGCAACGTTTTAATTTAAATTATAACGATTTTATTAATTACTGTAACATTTAACAAGCTGAAGAAGCTGGTATCTAAAATCCAGCGAAAATTTCTATAATAATAAAAAAATTATAAGTGTTGAGAGAAATCGTATTTTTGATGTTTTAAAATAATATATAAATATACTCTCACACAAGATGTTATCCTTTAAATCATATGTAACAGCTAAATACGGAGCTGAAATCTACAAAAAAACTGAACAGTTAAAGTTATTAAAAAAATCTGTTGCTAAATCGAAAAATCAATGCATCTTTTTACAAAAATGTGTAAAACATAAAATTATTCCGAAATCATTGCGAATTAACTCTCCAATAAAAAATAGAAGAGCAATAGGTATTATTTATCGTTTTAGATTTGAACTTTTAATCAGCATAAAAAACGATTCTAGGAAACGATTCTTTAACCTTATGAATGACGTTAAAAATCTTCAACGTTCGCTTAAATGTCACCTAGACGATAAAGACTACATTAAATTAGAACAAATCACTGAAAAAGCTCGGGAGAATATGTTTATAAAGTCAAAAGAACGATTAGTGAAAAAATTTCTAATATTGCAAAATGAACGTGAAAATAAAAACGATAATGCCGAAAAAACAACAAACTATAAAAAGAATGCTGTCCTAAACTTATGCGATACCGACATTCCAGTAAGTCATAATAATTTTCTAAACCTCGGTCCACACTTTGTACCATCTTTAAAGTCGATACCATATATGGATATTATTACAGCCACGGAATCCTCTGCGTTAAAATTAGAATACAACAATAAAATTGAAAATGCCCAAGACCTAAGGAAAAATGTTTTAAGAGAACTAAAAACCGGAAAAAAATTAAATAATAATCTTACAAAAGAACAATGGAAAGCTTATAGAGAAATAAAAGAGGAAAAAAACGTTGACATATATCCATTTGACAAAGGGACAGGTTTTGTACGAATCGAACATTCAAAAGCCTTGGAAAAAATTCGCGAACAAATAGGCCCAACAAAAATAGTAAGTGAAGACCCTACTGCAAATTACGCGGCTAAAATTCGTAGATGTCTTTCAAAACTAAATAAAAGAAACTGTTTTTCAAAAGAGGAATACGAAAAAATATATCCTAGTGATCCCATCCCGCCTCGTATGTATGGTGTAATCAAAGCCCACAAACCTGAAAAATTCTATCCTATGAGAATAATTATCTCCACAATCGGCACAGCAAACTACGGAATATCTGAGTTCTTAGTTAAGATAATACAACCAGTTTTGAATGAAAACTTGACAAGATTAAAAAATTCCTTTGACTTTATTAAAAAAGCTGAATCTTGGAAAATTGACAATAATGAAGTTCAGGTATCTTTTGATGTCGTAAATCTGTATCCGTCGGTTCCTTTAAAAGAAGCCACCCTTGTTCTTATAGAAAAATTAAATAATAATACAACATATAAAAAACTAACAAGACTAAGTATACCTGAGATAAAACAACTTATAGAACTTTGTTTATTTCAATGTTATTTTCATTGGAACAATGAAATTCATATAATGGAAAACTCGGGTCCAATTGGACTTTCGTTCATGGTCGTTCTTGCAGAATCATTTCTACAATTCCATGAAAACAATGCAATTAAAGTTGCACTAAATTTCAACCCTGCACTTAACCTCAAATCGTTCTTAAGATATGTCGATGATAGTCACGCAAGGTTTCCAGATCTCAACCAAGCAAAACATTTCCAATACATTTTAAATCAACAACATCCTTCCATCCAGTATACAATTGAAGTTGAAAACGAGTTAGGAACACTAAATTATCTGGATATACAAATTATGAATAAAAAAACAGGAAAGTATGAATACGCAGTATATCGGAAAGATGCTATCACTAACATTCAAATTAAGCCACACTCAAATCATGATCCAAATATCTTGAACTCTATTTTTAAAGGATTTCTCCACCGAGCTTACTCAATCTGTAGTAAGTCTTACTTGCAAAATGAAATAAATTTTCTAATCGACGTGTTTGTTGAAAATGGTTACGATAAAACTCAAATGATGAATATTGCGCATCAGTTTCAACACAAAAGACAAAATAAAATTACAATTCCATCTGAAATCAATAATTATCCTGTAGTTTCCTTACCATGGGTACCCGGTCTCTCACCAAAACTTAGGAAAATATTCCGAAAAGCTGGTTACAGAGCGGTATTCAAATCAAACCCAAACTTAAGATCCCTGTTAACATCAAAAAATAAATCAAAACTACCTAATAACAGTCAACCGGGAACATATATAATCAAATGCAACTGTTCAAAAGTGTATGTAGGCGAAACAAAAATGAAAGTAAACACACGAATGCATCAACACCAAAAAAGCATTGATGAAAATAAGCAGCATCAATCCGCATTAGCTCTGCATAAAACATTTTGCAAAAAAGAAATTATTTGGGAACAAACAAAAACATTAAAAGTAGAAAATAGAAAATAAAAAATAAAAAATTTGAAAGAAAAGTTAGGGAAGCCCTAGAAATACAAAAAAACATGTGTTCTGCAAAAAATGGCGGGATTAATCTCGATGAGGGTCAATACGTAAAAACTAAGTTTTGGACGCCATTTTTTAAATTTCAGCGAAAAAGAAGCCATTCAACAGCTGACGTCAATAGCAACGTTTTAATTTAAATTATAACGATTTTATTAATTACTGTAACATTTAACAAGCTGAAGAAGCTGGTATCTAAAATCCAGCGAAAATTTCTATAATAATAAAAAAATTATAAGTGTTGAGAGAAATCGTATTTTTGATGTTTTAAAATAATATATAAATATACTCTCACACAAGATGTTATCCTTTAAATCATATGTAACAGCTAAATACGGAGCTGAAATCTACAAAAAAACTGAACAGTTAAAGTTATTAAAAAAATCTGTTGCTAAATCGAAAAATCAATGCATCTTTTTACAAAAATGTGTAAAACATAAAATTATTCCGAAATCATTGCGAATTAACTCTCCAATAAAAAATAGAAGAGCAATAGGTATTATTTATCGTTTTAGATTTGAACTTTTAATCAGCATAAAAAACGATTCTAGGAAACGATTCTTTAACCTTATGAATGACGTTAAAAATCTTCAACGTTCGCTTAAATGTCACCTAGACGATAAAGACTACATTAAATTAGAACAAATCACTGAAAAAGCTCGGGAGAATATGTTTATAAAGTCAAAAGAACGATTAGTGAAAAAATTTCTAATATTGCAAAATGAACGTGAAAATAAAAACGATAATGCCGAAAAAACAACAAACTATAAAAAGAATGCTGTCCTAAACTTATGCGATACCGACATTCCAGTAAGTCATAATAATTTTCTAAACCTCGGTCCACACTTTGTACCATCTTTAAAGTCGATACCATATATGGATATTATTACAGCCACGGAATCCTCTGCGTTAAAATTAGAATACAACAATAAAATTGAAAATGCCCAAGACCTAAGGAAAAATGTTTTAAGAGAACTAAAAACCGGAAAAAAATTAAATAATAATCTTACAAAAGAACAATGGAAAGCTTATAGAGAAATAAAAGAGGAAAAAAACGTTGACATATATCCATTTGACAAAGGGACAGGTTTTGTACGAATCGAACATTCAAAAGCCTTGGAAAAAATTCGCGAACAAATAGGCCCAACAAAAATAGTAAGTGAAGACCCTACTGCAAATTACGCGGCTAAAATTCGTAGATGTCTTTCAAAACTAAATAAAAGAAACTGTTTTTCAAAAGAGGAATACGAAAAAATATATCCTAGTGATCCCATCCCGCCTCGTATGTATGGTGTAATCAAAGCCCACAAACCTGAAAAATTCTATCCTATGAGAATAATTATCTCCACAATCGGCACAGCAAACTACGGAATATCTGAGTTCTTAGTTAAGATAATACAACCAGTTTTGAATGAAAACTTGACAAGATTAAAAAATTCCTTTGACTTTATTAAAAAAGCTGAATCTTGGAAAATTGACAATAATGAAGTTCAGGTATCTTTTGATGTCGTAAATCTGTATCCGTCGGTTCCTTTAAAAGAAGCCACCCTTGTTCTTATAGAAAAATTAAATAATAATACAACATATAAAAAACTAACAAGACTAAGTATACCTGAGATAAAACAACTTATAGAACTTTGTTTATTTCAATGTTATTTTCATTGGAACAATGAAATTCATATAATGGAAAACTCGGGTCCAATTGGACTTTCGTTCATGGTCGTTCTTGCAGAATCATTTCTACAATTCCATGAAAACAATGCAATTAAAGTTGCACTAAATTTCAACCCTGCACTTAACCTCAAATCGTTCTTAAGATATGTCGATGATAGTCACGCAAGGTTTCCAGATCTCAACCAAGCAAAACATTTCCAATACATTTTAAATCAACAACATCCTTCCATCCAGTATACAATTGAAGTTGAAAACGAGTTAGGAACACTAAATTATCTGGATATACAAATTATGAATAAAAAAACAGGAAAGTATGAATACGCAGTATAT